TCCCTCTTCTATATCTTTTAATATCTGATGTGTGACTGCAATTTAGACTCTCTTCCTTCATACTGCCCGCATCACTGGAAACTCTTTTCCAGTTACTGCATTTGTACTCAGTAAGTTTTATAATTTCTTAGTATTCGATTTCCCTGTTTTTCTGTCTATCTGCTATTTTCCTGTTTTCTGTCTATCTTCAATAGTATGAGTGACTGTAAGTGAATGTAAAATACTAGTTTGTACTTGTTGGCTACAAGTTGTTTATAAATAAAGTTACGTGTGTTATGAATTTTCACTATGCAATTTAAGATACTATTTAGTGTAAAAATTGGAAATTTAAATTATGCTCAATGGTTAGTGTGTGTGTGTATATATATATATATATATATATATATATCCTTTATCTCAAGATGGTCACAATTAATCTTGACCATTGGATGTAAAATTGGATGGCTGTATTTATTTCATTGACCAAGCTCAAAGTTTAAAAAAAAAAAATTTTGAATTTTGTGACGCACCTAAGCTACCAGATTTCACATCTCCATATATATATATATATAAGCCATACATCTCGAGGTAAAGGAGATCAATCAAGGGTTTCCAACATCAAAACCACCTTTGGTGTGAGTTTTTGAAGTGTGTCTCACTTTTATAATATAAACTTTGTATTATACAAACTTTTCTTTGATCAATAATGAAATGTTAACTAGTTGAAATTTTTGTGTCTTGATAAATTTCATCTATTTTTCCTTGCAATGTTAACTTGGGAATCGATATGAAGAGAACTCTAGACATCATGTGGCTTCCTTCTCCTTTCTTTCACGAGTTTTCTCCCCTCTGTCATACAACTCGCACAACTATGGCTGTTGTTGAGTGTGATAATTTTCAAAATTTTAACCTTTTCACCTAGTGAGTATTTTTTTTGGGTAGTTCAGTAGGGAAGGGGTCATCTACTTGTGATAAAAATAAAACTGAAGACATCATGTTTTGGCACCCTAACACCGTGACCACCTAGTATTGAGCCCGTTCAAACCTAGAGGGCGTTTGTCTTTTCCCCATTTGATATCAAGGTCACTAGTTATTGCGTAAAGTCGCACTTTAGGGGCGACTGGGATCTGTCTCTCATCTCTTTTTCTTTTTATAATGCCCTCTAGGTATACTATGCTCCCGTGGAAGTATTACTGCAGAAAACCTACTTGATAAACAAAACAGTTTATATAAGGTTGAGGTCCTAAACAATCAAATTGGGGTATATACAAAAAATTCATTAGATGTTGTTTTGATGCCCAAAAAGTTTCAAATCGATGATCTTGACCTCAAGATAGATAAACATGAGAAAAAATGGATTTTAAGTCTTGGAATTAGTGCATCTTGTAATGTATTTTTTGGACTGTGAATTTTCAAGATTTTCAAATGTTTATAGGTCTGCTCAATCTACACTATTTTTAAGCTTTAAATTTTATAATTAGAGAAAAAAAAATATTTTCAAGCCATCCCAAAGATTTTCAGTACTCGAACAACATCTTTCGACATTATTTGAAGGTGCGTCTTACTTTGATTGTTTAGAGCCTCAGCCACCTTTTTTTAATCTAAAATTTGGGGAACCTTAGAATTAGTAGATGCTTATTTTTCAAATGAGAAGATTTGAATATTAACTCTTCTAGATGGTCTGGGGCCTTGGTGGCAGTATTGCTGAGCCCTATAGTGAGGTCTTTGACTCCATTCTCACCAAAGGGTAGGGGCCCAAATCTCCATTGACTTTACCATTTTTAGAAAAAGAGCTTTGGTTTAATTAGTTAGTGGTTGACGATTTACAACGCTATGTCTCAGACTCAATTCCTACCATAGATAAGGGACTCCTTCCCCACTGACTCACCCAAATACCATGGGTAGTGGCTCTTTCCCGCCTTTTACTACTTAGGTTACACCCTAAAAAAAAAGCCTTCTACTACTTAGGTTACACCCTCAAATAATAGAATGGTCTCAATTAAATCTTAAGGCAGAAAATTTGGTATCCTGAAATCACTTCTAAACTAGATTTTACCCCAGGTGTAAATGGAAGAGAGGTGAATATTAAATGGATGAAGTTTCTATAAAGCCTAGGCTTTTTGAAACAAAATAAAGTCTCACCTCAAGAAAGCACTTTCAACAATAGAAATCTCCGTAATGGCTCTAAAATCAATATCCAACGCCGACAATAAAAATTGAAACTTAAAAAATGGTACAAATCTTATAAATCTTTGAACACTTATTTTTAGGGCGAAATGGACGATTTAGACATTTGTTACAATATACATTATTTTTAGATCTTGAAACTCTATTTCTTTTCACAACGATAATAGTCAAGCCGAGATGGTCGATGTAAAGGTTTTTCAATGCTTAAATTGTAATTTTCGATGAGTTATGAGGTGAGGCTTTACTTATTTTAATAAGGCTGCAGCCCTATCAAACCATTTTCAATATTACTATGGAGATTTATAGGAGGGATGTATGGGAGCAAAGAGAAAAATTACAACATAAAAGTTAAAACACAAAGAAAGAGAAAGGAACAAACTGTCAACATAAGAACTCCTTCAGAGCGAATGCAGGAAGCAAGAAGAAGGTGCCAATGGGAGACCCCTCTCCTCTGCTTCTCTCTCTCTCT